GCAGACCATCTCAGCCAGGTTTTAGTTCTGGGGAGGCTGAGAGCCAGGAAGCCAGGTCCTAGCGGGCTGCAAGTCCCTGAGGAGCAAAAGGACACCGAGAGCCAGGTTCCCGGCGTCCTCATGGACACGGACACTTGCTCCAAACAACAGCTGCCTTCCATGTCATCCTCCCTCCCTGCAGGCCACAGATGCCTCCTTGAACGGTGAGTACAGTACGAAGCTGTTGCTTCTGATAAACTAGCCGTACTTGATAACTTGGTGGTGAACGTCCTAAGAAATGTATTCAGTGTAAGAGGGGCCGGGAAGATGGCTCAGTGGAATAAGCGCTTCCCTGGCAAGTGCAAGGGCCTGAGTTCAACCCCCAGTTCCACAAAAAGGAAAAAAAATAAATAAAACCGAAGAAAAGTATTCAGTATAAGAAGGTGCAGGGGCTGGGGGTTCCGATCCCGGGCCTGCCATGCCGCCCCGCCCCCGGGGTGCACTGAGACGGCAATTGAGACTGCGTGTGGTGGCGCCCTGCGCCTGTAATCCCAGCTCTTGGAGGCTGTAAACAGGTGGATCACTATGGGTCCGATGTAGTAGTGAGACCCTGAACACCCTGTAGACCGTGCCCTAAAATACAAAAAAGAAAGAAATGCATTGGGGTTTCTGGTAAATTATATATATATATATATCAGACGACTCTTTTTCTTATGAAAAGGTTAGTTGCGGGCGCTTTGGGAGATGAGGAACACATTGTGGGCATTTCCATTATTATTATTTTTTTTAGTATTTATTTATTTGTGCGTGTGTGCGTGTGTGTGTGGCCAGCTCAGCCCACCAGGGGGCGGGCTGGCTGGCACGTGGTGCTGGGGGATCGAACCGCGGTCCCTGTGCTTTACTAAGCTTGTTCTAAGTAGGTGCTTTAGACCACTGAGCCATCTCACCAGCCCCTCCATTATTTCTTGTTAGCAAGTCTTTTTTTTATACATACTGAGAATCAAACTCAGGACCTCACATTTTCTGGGCAGGTGCTGTGCCACTCAGCTACATCCCCGGCCCCTGAAATAGTCCCCCCCGCCCCTTGAGACAGGGTCTCGCTATGCAGTTCAGGCTGGCCTTGAGCTTACTTTGTAGCCCAGCCTGGTCTCGAACTTGCAAGGGTCCTCCTTCCGCAGCCTCAGGAGTGCTGTGAGCACAGGCATGCATTGCCAGGCCTGACTACCAAAAGTAGTCTTGGCTTACAACGAGCTTCAGTTACAACCCGATTCGAGAACGGCTTAACTCCGTAAGCCGAGGGTCCAGTGTATACGCTGGCATGTTGGTGCACGCCTGTCATCCCAGCACTTGGGAGGCTGAGGCACGAGGCACGGGACTGCTGCTGAGTTTGAGGCCGGCCTCGGCTACGCAGCTATACGGTGAGACCCTGTCTCAAAAACAAACAGAGGGCCCGGGGAGATGGCTCAGTACAATAAGCGCTTCCCTGGCAAGTGCAAGGGCCTGAGTTCAACCCCCGGTTCCGCCAAACAAACAAATGCCGAGCTTGCACCGCTGGGCCAGGCACGTGGCGCACACTCAGTCGCTGTCTCTGCTTCCTCCTCTTGGCTTGGCCCCCGGATCCCACCAAGACGACCTGGGCATCGCTGCTATGCCCGCCTCGCACACTGCACCTTCCACCCTGAAGTCAGCACCTCCTCCAAACCTGGCAGTGCAGCGGCCCCTCCACCTGGAGTGCTCTCCCTTTCCTCCTGCCCCCCCTGAAAACTTCTACTCAGCCTTCAAAGTCCCATGTGGTGTCACCTGCCCTGGGCTTCCCTAGAACCAGGGATTGAACTCAGGCCCTTGCGCTTACCAGGGAAGCGCTCATTCTAACAAGCAGTCTCCCCGGCCCTTCCCTAGATTATTCAGGCTGTGTTCACCTCAGCCTCTGCCTGACTCGGCCAGTGGCAGCCTCCTCCCTGGTCAGATCTGCGCTCACCGCCCTGCACTGGGGTGCATGTCTGCATCAGCTGCCTCCTGCCCACATGGGCAAGGCGCGCGCGCGCGGGCTGGCGCTGCATCCTGAGAACTGGACCAAGCATCTCCCCCCACTAGCCCTGTCCGGGGTGGACCTGGGAATCGGAGATTAGGGTTCTCGCCCTAGGACTGGGGAAAACACCAAGGCTTCAGAGGAAAACCAGTCCAGGGTAGTTCCACAGCTGGGCACACAGGTGGACCCTGAGGAGCACCCTCCTTGGCCCCTCAGCCCCACCCATGTGCAGAACCCAGGCTCCTGCTCTTCTCCCCAGAGCACAAGGCCCTGGGCTTGGTCTTCAGTGCTGCAAGTAAAAAAACAAAACA